TTCCGGTCCAGAGATGAACGACGCAACAACGGGCTTCAGTGTCCTGCCTGATGGTGGCTTCGTGCAGATGATGCGTATGCACCAATACGACTCGGTGTCCTTCATCATCATGAACCATGAGTGGGGAGAGAAGTTCGAGCCGGTGCTCAAGGCGAACCTGCGCGGGGCGTGGGTATTCTTCGAGATACGCAGGGTACGAGAGGATGGCTCTGAGAGCGCCTGGATGGAGGACAGAAGCGAGGGCCCGGCAGCTGAGCCGCGGTGCTACTCGTTCGTCGCGCGACGCGCTGACAAGATCGACGAGGACTTCCTGAAGCACCTCCGGGGGATCGATGCTCCTGGACCGCACATACTGCACATAAGGACCCCCGAGGCGCCCTCGCGGTTCTTCATGCACAAGGACCGATACATCGCGAAGATCGCACAGGCGCTGAGGCTTTCGCAGGGCCTGCAGAAGTGCGTCCTCACACTCGACTTCTCGATGCAGACCGACCAGCTGCTGAGGTGCCTCCCGCCAAGCTGCGAGGAGCTGGAGCTTCTAGCGCCGACGTCGTTTCAGCTGACGAAGCTTGCGCATACGGCCATCAACGAGATTGTGCACAAGCTTGCTCTGGGGCTGGCTGGGGCAAGGCATCTTAAGGCTTTGACGCTGCCGGTGTTGTTTGCTACTGGGATTGTGCTGGACCACTTGAACGACTTTCCACGATTACAGGTGTTGCGGATAAAGCCTATGGCGGGACTGAAGGAGGAGGATACGATAACACGGTTTCTGAGGGAAATGAGGACGTTGAAGAGGGATGGAATGTTGAAGAGGCTAAGAGGGCTAAATGTGTGGACGACTCCAGAGGAAGGGTTCAATGAGGAGGCCATCCTAGAGCTGAGGAGGATGTTTCCATCTACAATTATTTATCGGCCAATCGCATACTAGCATAAGAACACGATACGCACCTAGTTTTGTTACATGGGGGGCTTGACCAATCCATTACTGAGTTTGTAGTAAACGATCGACGCGTCTGAAGATGTGATGGCAAGGAAGATGGAGTGAGTGCCCGATTCATTCGGGTAAATCCTCTCAAAAGCTTGCTGTATCCTGCAGAAGACGAGTTCATCGCAAGACTTTGGTAGGGAAAAAATGCTCGAACCAGGAAAAAGACAGGTTCTCAGACAGAGAACAGGGTAAAACGTGTAGTATTTCGTTCTATCAGGAACGTTAATACTTTTTTTCTGAGAGGAATATTTCCGACTAACCGTGTCGGGTTTCTTCCCTCGGATGACTCCGCGTGAGCAAGGTTCAAGGTCGATTACTTCAACATCATCCCATTTCTGAGCTGGGATGGATATCGTTGGATGCGTCATAATGAGAGTCCAAGGCGCTTACCGTATACAATATCATTATAGGCTTGGAAGAGACTAGATGAAGCCCGAGGGTACTTCGCCATCCAAGGCGACAGGGCAGAATACTGTGAGCACCAAAATATTCGTTAGAGGAAGGTGGGTTTCAAATTTTCGGAAGCCTACAGATGGGTGCGATTGCATAATTTCTTGAGATCCTGGGTGGGAGTTTGGAGAACTGCTTTCAAGAAGATCTAATGCTTCGGCTCCAACAAGTGGTTAAAAGAGATGCAATAACGCGTGACGTCACTTTTCGCCGCTCAGCCAAATGAGGCTAAATACACGTGACTCGCGCACGGACCTCCTCAAAAACTATATAAACTTTTGAGCGCCCATTACGATTCCTTTAGAACATACTCAATCAGGATCTGTTTACAGAAACTGACCGAGTCTCGCATTTTTACAAATGCCGCATTCTTCATATCCACTCGATGACATCCGCGCTCTCTCGTTACACTGAGAACATGGCTCTTCTTCGGAAGAGTCTCGAGGACGTTTGGTTTGTCTTCGGTGGGCGCTTGCAAAAGCCTCATTGAATTCGAGCCAGCGAGATGAGCGTCTGTCTGATGGATACTTTCTGTTTAGATATACTCTATTTGTACCTTTCAAGGATCTTATTCGAATGTAAATTTCCCTTTGAGCTTCCTTGCAGAATTTTGAGTGTTATTCCATTCCGCCGGTCTATATGAATTTCAGCTATAATTGTTGAGACGCTCCCAGCCTGAGTCGTTTTCAGAGGAGTGGGATCCTCGGCTTTTTTGGCTGGTACCCCCATGACTTCGACACATTGTTTGTGAGCTGCATCTTCAATGTTTTGTCTACTGTGAAGGATTGACTCAGGCCCTACGTTTCAAGCTCTGGGAGTGCTAAGAAGCTTCCTCCATCATGCACCGACGAATTCCTCAACAAATCCTGACATATTGGCGGCCGTGCCAACGACGCTCGCGGTCATTGACGACAGTAGCATCTGCTGAACTTTCAAACCCGCGTCCGGACCCCTTCTCCATCCTCGCACCCCAGCTGGCCGACCTACGAACTTCCTTGCTTTCAATGCTCGGCTCAGGCCACCCAGCAGTCACCGAAATCACGAAATACTACTTCCTGCACCCGTCGAAACAAATCCGACCAGTCATAGTGTTACTCATGGCGCAGGCGACCAATGGGCTAGGGGGTAACTGGAGTCGGAAGTTGTGGGAGTCAGAGTGTGAGGGTGCTGGAGGAACGGCGGAGGAGCTGAACAGGCCGCTGACGCGTCCAGACGTGCTGAACGACTGGAACCCGAGCATGCCCCGCGATACGGCGAGTTTTGACGTGACGTTCAGGCTGCGCCCTGCACGTACTCATCGACATCCGAAGCCAGCGACGGCTCCACCGCCATTCTCCAGTGCCCATCCAAAACCTTCTGGCGTGGTTCTGCCGACGCAGAGGAGGCTCGCACAGATCGTGGAGATGCTGCACACCGCGTCGTTGCTGCACGACGATGTTATCGACAAGTCAGCACTAAGACGAGGTGCGCCATCTGCTCCAGCGGCTTTCGGGAACAAACTTTCGGTATTGGGAGGAAACTTCGTGTTGGGTCGGGCGTCGGCAGCTTTGGCAAGGCTCGGAGATCCGGAGGTCACAGAGCTCATCGCGAGCATCCTCGCCAACCTCGTTGAGGGTGAAATTTTGCAACTGCGGGAGATCAAGCTCGACGACTCGGATGATCTGACGAGGGACGTGCTGAAGAGCGCTGCGGCGAGTCGGGGCGGGCACACGAATCGCGATGCGTGGAACATCTACCTCCAGAAGACCTACCTGAAGACGGCGAGTCTGATGGCGAAGGGTGCGCGGTCGTCGGTCGTGCTGGGTGGCTGCAAGGAGGGCGAGGTGTGGAAGGAGATCGCGTATGCCTATGGCAGGAATTTGGGCATCGCCTTCCAGGTTCGTTCTGGCTCACATTCTTTAGTTCTTTCTTGCCTCTAAGGGTTTCTACAGCTTGTGGATGACGTCCTGGACTACGAATATGCTTCTGCGACGCTGGGCAAGCCTGGAGGTGCCGACCTCCAACTCGGGCTAGCGACAGGACCCGCCCTCTACGCTTGGGAAGAGCACCCAGAAATCGGGGAGCTTATCCAACGGAAGTTCGAACAGCCTGGGGACGTCGAGCTGGTTAGTTCATCATTCAACTGTCCCTCTTCTCTGAATTCCATCTGAACAGCTTCATAGGCCCGAGACTACGTCCTCCGTTCGTCTGGCGTCCAGAGAACGCGAGCTCTGGCCCAGGCGTACGCGGACAAGGCCAAGGAGGTTCTGCAGCAGCTTCCGGACAGTGAGGCGAAGGCGTGCTTGGAGGTGCTGACGGAGCGAGTGATTGGAAGGAAGTCTTAGAATTATTGGTCTGGATTGCGGAAGTCCTTCGAGTGCGATTCTTTTACTCATATCAAAAGTATGCTAATTCATGCTGCGGGTCCTGAGACGAAGTTTTGGAGTGAGTTACCCGTCATTCTGCGTCATCGCGACCCGGGGCATCGAATGTCCGTCCTACTCGTCCAGATGTAGTCGCCTTCGAAGAACTGCTGCGCCATTGCGAAAGACGTCCCTGGGTCGGCTGCAGCCAGCAAGCTCGTGGTAGGTCGTCTAGTCTCATGAAAGTTTTCGTACCAATAACTGAGTGTTCATCGGACACAATAGCCCCTTACTTCCTCGAGTCCGGCGGCTTCATCTTCGTGGGTGTGTCTTACTCCTCGTGCATCCGAGACGGAGGACCAGAAGCAGTTTCAAGACCATCAACTCTACGTCTGCGAAGAACGTGCCTCTTCACTCGCCTTTCTTAAGAACGAAATAACAATGATGCAGACGGCCAGGAGCGATGGAGTACTCATGAAACACCTACCAGTCACGTTTGGAGCACTCTGAGAGCTCAGCAGAAAGGCGAGGATCGTACACTCTAAGAGACTTTTCGTGCTCAATGCCCCCAAACGACACAATACGAAGAAGCGCCGAGTTATTGAGAAGCGCTGATCAGGTTTCGGTTGGAGAACCTGGATAGATACGATAGTCGGGAGCAGAACCTCGATGGGAAGGTATATATACGCCGGCAGGGCAGAAAGACTTTTTGCGCCTGCAGGTTTTGAACCACTGACGAGCGCATTGAGCTATGGGTGACGTTCGTCCATCAGGAGTTGCTTACCAGCCTTTGCCAGGTTTTTCTGACGAAGAGCAAGGGTTTGCTGAAGGTACGTTGTCGCTGGGTACCACTGGTCAGGCTGACGGCTCATTTACTTCATTTCTTTCAGATCGTCCTCGGTCAAGAAACCAATTGGCACATGTTTCGATGCAAGAGTTTTTCTTCGTGTTGTACGGTCTCTTTCTAATTTTCATCTAGCCCTAGTTCCTCAAATGGCGATATTTCACGGCGTCCACTTCAATCGTTCCGTTCAGCCCTACAAATTTCGAGTCCATCGTCGGCCACCACTTTGACATCAGGACATTCGCCTCTTGGATTGTATTCTCCCATAACTCCTTATCTACCTGGAACAACCTTTAAGCTTGGCTGCAAGCATCGCGAAAGTGCTGAGAAAAGATATACCAAATCCCTTTCAGAACTGGCCTTCGTGGTAGAATGCCCGCTCGTTGACCCTGTCTTGTCGCCCATCGTCGCGGAGAAATCCAATAGCAAGAACACAGAGTTTACGTGCGTCGGCGGATTTCTCTTTCGTTGGCCTCACTTTACTAAGATCCATTGCTTCCTAGACACTTGCGTTACACTGCAGCAACGTGCGATCCGGATGACTTCACGGTGAGGAACGGCTACACACTTCGCGGCCAGGCGTTCAGCCGTTCCACCGATATTCTCATCGCGATCACCTCGTTCAACGAAGGCGCGTCTATGTATGCGCACTCTCTAAGCGGAGTCTTCGCCAACAGTCGCGACCTATGCACTTCTCAAAAGTCGAGGTACTGGCGATCTTGTGCTGGAGAAGCTGGCCCAGCGTGGCAACGCATCACGGTGGCCTTGGTTGTCGATGGTTTGGAGGAAATGGATGGCAGCGCGTTGGAATTCTTGACGGGGGCCGGACTATGTCAGCCCGGTGTTATGAGACCCCAGGTCGACGGAGCGGAGACGACTGCTCATATTTTCGAGGTTTGTCCTTCCATGCCTGTTTCAATCGCCGTCCTAATACGTCGATCTACTCGTGTAGTCCTTAATACCCGCAAAGCGACTGGACAAAGAATCTCAATTAAGCGGCCACTCAGACGATATCCCTATCCAGTTTATCCTTATCATCAAGGCGAAGAACGAAAGGAAGATAAGTTCTCATCGCTGGGTTCTTAACTCCATCGCAAAGAACCTGAACGTTCGTATCTCTTCTGTATTTTCAACTATAGTTGTTGTAACGTCCTATTTCAGCCGGAGATTTGCATATTCCTAGATGCTGGCACTAAACCCGGACCGAAGGCGATTTATCGTCTTTGGGATGCTTTCCATAATGACCCACATCTTGGAGGCGCGTCAGGTGTGTACAGTTGGCGCATATATTTACCCTGTTGTTGTTTTATACCCTTCGTAGGCCAGATTCACACCCCGCAAGGCAGAATGCTGCTCAACCCCCTTGTCGCAGCACAGAACTTCGAGTACAAAACCTCTAGTGTTTTCGGTCAGTTTGATTCTTCCCTTTTGATTTTTTGTTACTGATTTCTGTGAAAGACAGACCTCTGGAGAGCACTTTCGGCCATGTTGTCGTTTTACCAGGTGCCTTCAGCGCATACCGATACAGGTTAGTCGAGTGATTACTGTGTCTCTTCTTTCCACGTATCTTTTCACATTCTGTAGAGCTATCCTCGGTCGACCATTGGAGGAATATTTCAAGGGCGATCATTCCATGGCTAACAGGCTAGGAATTGACGGTATGCGTGGTATGAGCATCTTCCAGAAGAATCTCTATCTGGGTAACGACGGAGGCTTCCTCTATGCCACGACAAAATGCTGACAACACCATGGTTCTCCAGCCGAAGATCGCATTCTCTCCTTCGAGCTCGTGGCGAAGGAAGGCGAGAAATGGACAACTGCATACATCAGGTCAAGTACCGCAGAAACAGACGTACCAGAAAACCCAACGGAACTTCTGAGCCAACGGCGTCGGTGGTTGAACGGGGCTCTTGCCGCTAACTTCTACGCTCTTGCGAACTTCGGGAGATTCTATCGCACGACGCATGGGTGGAGACAGTTGGCATTATTCCACCTTCAAGCTATTGTGGGTCATAATTTTTGTTTTCGCCTTCCTGGAGTCTTCGACTGACCGCCAGCGCAGTGCAATCTTGCCTCCATGGTGTTCTCGTGGTTCACCTTGGCGAATCTTTGGCTCGCTTTTAGCATTTTACTAGATTCTTTGCCCGGATATGCACCGTCCCGATACATGTTCTTGGTCAGAGCTTATCAGTGTTCCCCGTCTCTTCCATGTATTAACATACCCTTTTTACAGATCGCCGGCATGAGCAAGATGATCAAAGGTGTCTACCTTCTCTGCCTTCTGATGCAGGTGCGTCGGTCTGCCCCAGCCCTGGTCAAGGACGGTTCCTGACGTCGTCTGCAGTTCCTGCTTGCATTCGGCAATCGCCCAAGAGCGGAGCGTATTGCCTATGATTTCACCCTCTGGTAAGATTTCGTTACGTTTACAACATAAACCCGCGAACTGACACATCCATTGCTGTCTGTAGTTTCTTTGGGTTTGTTCCTTTGTATTTGATGTTCATGCCCGCGTTGTTGTCCTGGCTGTCCGCTGTATGTAATTTCCGCAGGATTCCTTACTCTACTGACACGCATTCAGGTGCCCCTCAGCCCTAGCAGCATTGAAAATGCGGATTCGACATCCAAGTCGGCAGGATCGGCTCTAGCCGCGGTTTTCGGCCCTATGGGCTCTACCCCAGGTAGGCATACGCAGCCCCGAAGAAATGACCACCCGTTAACCTATGCGTAACGTATAGGAATCACCCTTATCACTTCACTTCTTTATGTACGTTATCCATTCTATATTTCACGCGTCACAGTTGATTCAGTGCACCGGGCTCTCAAGCTTGACTTCCCCCATCTAGTGCATTCGTCAATCCAATACATTTGCATGGGTCCCAGCATCATCAATGTGCTAACCGTATACGCATATTGTAACCTTCATGACGTCTGTATGACCTTCTCATCCTCCGAACTTTTCCTCACGTATTCCTTTAGGTATCATGGGGAACGAAAGGCTGCGATCAAGTGGAGATTCTGACGCCCTGTGTATCCTCTTCCAAGCTTCCGACACAAGTCGTTATGGAGGCGAAGCGAAGCTCTGCACGCGATAATTCGAGGACTAGGTCCGCGATTGAAGATGCGCACAAGAGCTTCCGCACGAGAGTCGTGACTTTTTGGATCTCTTGCAACATCATACTGGCCGTCGCCGTCGAGAGCTATGGGGGATGGCTCAACCTCGCCGACCCTTCCATCACTGCAGAACAAGTGCGCTTGTTTTATGCCGATAAATCCGAGCTACGGAATGCGTACCTTGCCGGCCTGGGTAGCTTTGCGTATTGGCTCGTTCTTCTGCGCTTCGTTGGGGTGAGTGGATACGTGCAACTTGTATTTTCTGGGAATTCACGAGCGCCCTTAGAGCGTGATCTTTTGGGCAAGGAGCAATATGTCGGGTTGGTGGAGACGGAATTCATGACGAATTATGATTACGGCTACCTATACGTAACAAGATTGAATGGCCCGTTCGCATACTTGTTTTCGAACTCCTCCGCACAGATTATCCCTGCACTGCAGCTGTCTGATGTACTCCTATCACACTTCACTGCACCCCACAAAATCGAGTTTGCTCCGTGTTGTGCATTTTCCGCAGGAACTAAATGGGTGTGTCGGATCGGACTGTGTGGCGCAGTTATTTGGTGTATTGCCTTAACCGGTATCCCAATGTTTGATTCTGATGTCCTCTTTCAAACCATCGGGACTTGGCACTGGAATCTCCAATCCATAGTCACATAAACGGACTAAATCCTGTGAAACCTTCATTGTCGTCCAAAAGATGACCAGCAGGAGAACAGGGAACTGTGCGCTGATCTTGCGAAGGGGTCGTCGTTCACTTGACTTGCTATTTCCATGACAACTAACTGCGGACAGAGAAGGACTCCCGAGTAGTAGATGCAAATGAATTTCCGGCGGATGAGATGGGTATTTGAAAGTGATCTAGGAAGCCGTTGTGCAAACGAAATTACCCTGTCATACTTGTTTCGAACCGCAAGATTGTAATCATTGGAAAATGCAGCGACTCTGTAGCATTGTCAGCAGAAATTGGGCCTATTTACTGTACACAGATCGCAAGTAACAGCACTTGTGGTGATGCAGACGCCTATGAGCCCAAAACCGGAGCCTATCATGGGTGCTTGTATTTATCCTCTTTGGCGAAATCGTCGAGCTCGCGATTGATAGGGGGAACGTAGTGGGAAAAGAGCTGGAGGATCTCGGTTGGGAGGCGGTGAGTGACGAAAGGATGATGACACCAGTTAATCTTAATTTTGACCTTGCGACATTTGCGAATCAGCTCCTCGATACGCGCCTGGCCTGAAGTTCAAGGAGTCCTGCATCTAGTTGCTCAAGCTCCAAGAACATCGCACAGGTTACCACCCTGTATATGATGGTCTGCGGGTCTGCTGCCTGAGGATGATCAATACGAAATCGTGTCAGTGGTATGATGTACAGATGAGTCGACACAAAATCGACAACTATCGCGAGTCACCGGTCATATTTGGAATCGATGAGTTACGAGCGAAATAAGACCAAAATATTTATATCTGAATAAACTAAATTGTGTTGGAAGCAATAAGAAAAAGGCTTTAAAGAAAGAAGAAAGACTGACGCGGGGTGTTGGTGGAAGATTCGGCAATCACCGAATGACGTATGGAAGGAAGGAAGGAAGGAAGTCCATGTTGTTTTGAGCTTCAAACAATCCATGTTGTTAATCCATGTTGTTCGATAGGTTTCCCCTCAGCGCTCCGTACCCAATTGGATCTCTCTCCAAGCTTCCTATTTCAATTGGGGAACTGCCCGGAGATTGACAGAACCTGAGATCGTGTCTTGAAGCGGCACCATCGAAGGGCCCGGGTTATCAAGATTCAAGACGATTACGTGCTCTGCTTTGGTGTCGAGACTCGAACAGCGACGAAATCGGTCGTCGGTGCAGGATCCATAAGGTGTGTATCTGGTGCAGGACGTACCGAAATGCAATTCATAGGCTATAGCTATGTCGCCCTTTCAGAGCACTCTTGGTGAAGAACTTCCCTGGTGGTCGTCAAGCAAGTACGTTGCGGACGCTGTAAGTCCAAGAAGCGCACAATTTTACGAGAGGTACGCCAGAGAAAGAGACAGGCACTCAAGGAGATACTACTTCTTGTCGATGTCGTCAAAGGCTCGAAGCAAACCGCAGCTATGCTGGTCTTCGGCGAACGCAGCAGGTGAGAATCTACTCCATTCCTTAGAAGCTAGAATAGACAAATACCGACTCTCTCTTTTATAGCCACTGCAGTCCGGCGATGCGGAAAAGACCTGAAAAGAAGATGATGAAATTACTCAGACCGCCCCAGCGTGCTAGGTCGGACATCCCCACCTGACCTCACGAAGGTACCAGAGTAAGCACGTCAGCCCGCCGCCCTTCGCAATTTCTGCGCCGCGTCGGGCACAAGGGCGGTTGATCATTATGGTAGGCACTCTCTCATAACGCTTAATGACATATTAATGCTCAAGAAAGAATAGGATGCCATGGTCGTTGCCTTAAATCCTGCCTCCGAGGTCTGCCTAATGCTAGATATATACCTAACGAGCATAGTGGACAACAGGCGAACACTCAGGGAGCGGTGCAATCTCGACGAACGACCAACTCTTCCAGTCGTTTTCATGATGCTCCGATCGACGTTTGGCCAGGAACACCTGAAGAAATAACTTCACCCGAGGCCCGAGGCACACAATTTCGGACCGCATGCGTAAATACGGCTTGCGACCGCTTTTGAGCTACGATGCTGAATGGAACATCGTATACGATCACCGGGAGCAAAATTGAAAAGGCAAGGTAAACGAACCGTGCTTAGAACCGTGCTTATAAGGCGCTGGAAGCCACTACTCTTAGGTCTGACTAGGAAAAAAATGTGCGACCCCGAACGTCAAGCCGGTTCTTCAGGAATTGTTTACCATCCACGTTTCACCAATGAAGATCCAAGTAGTGCCTCCCATCTACGGTTCCAAGCGCTAGGTAAGAGGCGTTTCTTCTAATCCTCTACACTTTCGCTTGACGCATGTTGTTCAGATGCACGAGCGAAATCGACCCATTTATCAGGGTTATATATGTTGGTTCTTTCTTTACATATAACATATTGGAACCTCAAACTCCACTACTTTTAGCCCAAATAGCAACGGTTACGATTTTCCACTCTCATCCCTGCGGTCCCCTACAGGACAAGCTTCTAGTGCCTCGTTGGATAGCGTTTTCTCTCCCGGATCCTCGCCCCTAGGACAGTACAGCTATACGCCCTGCGGACCCCCCTGGACCCACCACGAAGAAGAGGCAAGACGAAGAGGGAACACACGGTGCCTCGTCAACCGGAATGTCGTCGTTGAAAGATCGGTTCATGGTACAAGTTCGCCTACGTTGTCTGGAGCTAGCCTGAGCCCTCTAGCGGACAAAAAGTCGACAGAGTTTACGTAAGGGCCTTCATCCTTCTCTTATCCAACTTTCGCAGTACTAACGAAGCCTCCTAGACTCCTACGCTACACAGCGGCGACGTGCGACCCGGACGACTTCACCTTTCGCAATGGCTATACACTCCGGAGCCAGATGCTGAATCGATCCACCGAGATTCTCATCGCCATCACCGCCTTCAATGAAAATGCATCAATGTATGCGCGGACCCTGAGTGGTGTCTTCGCGAATATCCAGGACATATGCACCAAGCAGCCTTCGAAGTACTGGCAACATTGTGCTGAGATGGATGCACCTTCGTGGCAGCGTATTACCGTCACATTAGTCGTCGATGGCATCGACGAGATGCATGACGGTGCGCTGAACTTCCTAACGGAGATTGGCGTCTGCCAGACAAGCATCATGAGGAAGCAGATAGATGGAAGAGGTACGACAGCTCATATCTTCGAGGTGAGTATATTTTTTTTTGCTCTGTTTTCTTCCTTCGTACTGACGTTACTGCAGTCTGTGATTTCAGCCAGTCGACTTGAGAAAGCATCTGACCCCACTGGTGACCGTCCAAACGGTGTTCCCGTCCAGTTCATCCTGATAATCAAGGCGAAGAACGAAAAGAAGATTAATTCTCATCGCTGGGTCTTCAACGCCCTTGGAAGGATGCTCAGTGTAGGTGCATCCATTAGTTCTGCGAAGAATCATCTCTGATATACCTTACTATTAGCCTGATATCTGCGTCTTCCTCGATGCTGGCACGAAACCTGATGCAAAGGCTATTTACCGCCTTTGGGAGGCATATCACAATGATCCACATATCGGTGGCGCCTGTGGTATGCATTTTTTGTTCCTTGATATTGCTTCTTTTGTTGACAATTTGCAGGAGAGCTACATACCATGACAGGCAAAATGTTACTCAACCCTCTTGTTGCTGCTCAACACTTCGAATACAAGAACTCCAGTATCTTTGGTTCGTACTTCTCATAGCTACTGGCAACTAAACGTCAATCCTGATAACCTTTACAGATAGACCTCTTGAGAGTGTTTTCGGTCATGTAGCCGTTTTGCCTGGGGCCTTCAGTTCGTACAGATACAAGTATATTTCCTCGGAAAAAGCATCGGCTTTGTAGAGCTCGTTTTAACCGATTCCCCTTTTCTAGGGCAGTTCTCGGGAAACCCTTGGAGCAATACTTCAAAGGCGACTATTCTTTGGCCAACCGACTCGGAACCGACGGAATGCGGGGTATGGGGATCTTTCAGAAGAACATGTATTTAGGTAAATCATTCCTGTCTCTTTCTCTGTGTATTTTTGACCATGACCTGCCTTCGCCAGCCGAGGATCGCCTTCTCTCGTTCGAGGTTGTGGCCAAAGCAGGCGAGAGATGGGTAACGGCGTACGTCAGGGCAAGCAAGGCGGAGACAGACGTCCCGGAAACGTCTGCGGAACTCCTCGGACAGCGTCGACGGTGGCTGAATGGTTCTTTCGCCACCCACATCTATGCTCTAGCCAATTTCAGAAGGCTGTACCGAACTGCTCATGGTCCTGGACAACTGATGCTGTATCACGCTCAAGCTATCGTGAGTCATGTTTCATTCTGAGATGTTCGTTTTCTGACGGATGAGGACGATGCAGTACAACATTGTATCGATGGCGTTCTCTTGGTTCGCCTTGGCAAATGTCTGGATTGCTTACAGTATTCTGCTGGATTCTCTATCGGGTTATGCGTCGACATATGTGGCTTCCTATGTCAGTTTCCGTCAGTACATCTATCATGGAGCGAAGGTTTAAAGTTTTTGGCAGATTGACGGATTGAACCACATGATTAAACATGTCTACGTTGCATGCCTCATTATGCAGGTCAGTCTGCCGTACCCTCTTTCATGTCATGCGCTGACATCGTGCCTTTTTTGTTCAACCAGTTTCTACTTGCATTTGGGAATCGGCCAAAGACTGAGCGAATAGCGTATGACGGCACTCTATGGTAAGACATGCTGGTGCAGTCGCCACCACAAAAAAAAATTATGCAAATCTTACTCAGGTTCTTTGCATTTCTTACTATTTATTTAATGGTTGCCCCTCCATTCTTGTCCTGGCTGTCTTCAGTAAATCATTACTACGACCTTTTCGCGACATTTGCTGACTAGTTCAACTTCGCAGAGCGTAGCCACTGCTGTGGATCGCGCGCAATCAAAGTCCGCTCTCGCTGCAATCCTCGGACCCTTGACCTCAACTTCCGGAATGTGTATCATAGCGTCTTTGCTCTACGCGAGTTTTCTGCAATGCTGACTGGCTCTTATATTGTGCTCACGAGATTAGTGCAGGCCGACCCGCTATACCTGATCCATTCGTCATTCCAATACGTGTGTATGGGCCCTAGCCTGATCAATGTATTGACAGTCTACGCATATTGCAATGTGCACGACGTAAGAACGAATCTTTTACTTGTGCCTCTTCGTCAGCTGATCATCGATAGGTGTCTTGGGGTACCAAAGGTTGCGATAAAATGGAGATTTTGACGCCTGTCACCACAACCGCCTTCAGTCTTCCAACGAAACTTTTGAAGGGACTGAAGCGCGACCACGAAGACGTGAATGCCCAAAGGAAGGAAGCGGTCGAAGATTCTTACAAAAGTTTTAGGACGCGAATGGTGGCCTTATGGCTCTTGTCCAACGCTATACTTGCCATGGCCGTCGAAAATCTTGGAGGGTGGGCCAACCTCAATAATCCTTTGATTACCGAGGAGCAGATACAACTATCCCGCACTAGGCAAGCTGCAGGACGGAGGTCGTATCTCGCTCGTCTTGGCCAGCTGGGATATTGGCTCATCCTTTTACGCTTTGTCGGGGTAAGTGGGTCCAATTGGTATAGCACTTTACGCTAGCCTAATCCTTGTCTTCAGACGGTGATTTACTGGGGGCGGAGCAGTATATTGCGTTGGTGTAGACGGCGTTCATGACCTCGGACGAATCGATGACATGTATTTTGAAACGCGATAAAATGAAGTATTTCAAATTTCGGCGCGTCAGTCCTCTCCGATTTTGACAGGTCCGTGGTTTGTTGACCACTCTCGTCAACGCTACGCACCTGAACTAGACTGGACCTCTGGCCCTGGCGCTCCGGTTTCGTCGAACACGTCGAACGCGAGAAAATCTTTTTCCAGACATACTTAGCACGAGTTCTCAATTTTCGGCAGACAACTCGACACGTAATTTCCGTCGGTCCGACAAGGGCGAGGGTGTTGCAAACGTCTCGAATGAATTTCCCTGCATGGGGAAATACTTGGGGAAACACTATCCGTCGAAACCGAAGGCTATGATACCTGGTGCCAATCGTCTACTCGAGCGTGGGCTGGTCAGATGGTCAGTGAAGTCGAAGCCCTCTGGAAGAACCCCAGGAATGCAATATATGAAGGCGACCTCAAGGCATCGAAGAAGAACAAGCACTATGTCATTCGGGTTTATATGCAGGGGCGAATACAACACCTGCCTCGAGGCCTGTCAATCAGTTGATCCCTTTGAGGAAGGGTAAAGTGTGATAGCGCGACTGTGATGGGTTGGCTCTGGAGAACCGGGAACCTGCAGGGAGCAGCCCCGTCCGTAGGATCGGACGCCATCTTCGCAGGGCCGAACATGAAAAATTGATGAAAAAAAGCGAAAGAAGCAGCACTCCGACAGTGGCAACGACGAACTGGCCAACTTCTGAACGCCATCACGGACGAGACTTCCCATACCGGCATCGCGGCGGAAGCATTTTGTACGGATTTGGAAGAAAGTGCCTGTGCTGAAGTGTGGAGTATCGTTCCTCTTCCCATCCTGGTCCTCGCCGGCTGACCTCTCGCAAGCCGAGACAAACAGGGACAGATCCGTACTTAAGTATCATGGCTGCTGTCGAAGTAGCGCCCACCACCAACGAGCCAGGATGACGGACGACCTTTCCTACACCACGCTGTTCGCTGCCGCCGTCTTTGGCGGCATCCTTCTCTATAACTATTCGTCATCCGACCGCAAGAACAAGTTGCCTCCTGGTCCAAGGCGACTCCCGATTATTGGCAATGTGCACCAGATGCCCCAAGAGGAGCCCTGGAAGGTGTTCTCTCAGTGGGGGAAGAAGTATGGTGCGTGAATTGTGTGCTTCGCGCTCAGCGCCTTCTGAACGCATTGGTCTTCATCGTAGGCGGTATTATGCACGTTGATATAATGGGCCAGTCCCTCGTTATTATCAACTCCACCAAGATTGCGACGGACCTCTTGGA